GACACGCGACACGAGACCATATATACTTGTGGTGTGGCCCCACCATTTGCATCCCTCCCTGGCGGGCTTTGGCCTGCCTAGCGCTGAGCGGCACCCACCGACCGCATACGAGGCTTCCGGGATCATTTTTGGGCATGCTGTTGTCCAACACTTTGTGCAGTCACTTGATGCTGCCCGCTTTCCCGTCCTGGATTCGCTCCGGACTGCCGCAGCCAGGTTGCGCGCGGTTGGGGTTGAGCCGCCCACTTAGGCTCCTCAAGCCGACTCAAGACCACTTGGTGAGCCCGGTCTTGACCTCACCCGCAATGTTGCAGGATGCCCTGGCGGGTTCCAGGGTCGTGTTGCGGGGCCAGATGAGGTCTGCGAAGTCGGCAAAGCGAGGATGGCGGCGGCATCAACGGATCACCGTGGTCCCTAGCTTCGGCTGGCGTGGTGACGGGGGACGTGTAGCTCGACGCCAGAGAGGCGTGCAAAGAGCAATGCAAAGGGCACCAGCACGTGTGGAGAGTGCGACTTGGTGAAGCATGCACGCTCTCCGAAATCATGCTTCAAATTGCTGGGCCAAGATTCGGGCGACGGAGGACGCCGAACATCGCTCGCACGGAGGCAGCCCCTCGCTGTGCCAGCTCGCTCGCGGAGCCAGTGTTGGTGGGGCAGGCATCAGCCAAGCACGCGGCATGGAACCTTACCAACGACCAGAGCACTGATATGGCGGCCGTTCGCTTCTGCAAGGCGATGCTGCGCACGCGAGTAGCCACGAGCGCGTCAGCAAGTAGCTGGGGCGAGGTTTTTTTGCGAAACCGTGCAAAAGCTGGCTGTCAAGCTCATCGTCAACGACTGCGGCAAGATAGTGTGCGACTGCTTGAGAAGCACAGAGCTGCTGCACGCTTACAGGAACAATGTACGCGCGAATTAGGTGTCGATCAATGAAACAGCACCTGCCATTTCTCTGCACTGATGGCGTCCAGGCGCACAGAGGGATCGCCCGCACCTCGGTATACCTCGATGTGCAGCATGCAGAAGTCATCTCGCAACGCCAGATGAACGAACCAATGCTGCCGCACAAGGCTGGCCAGTGAACGCCTGGGCTCCTCTTGGCTTCAGGGTGCAGACAGTCAGCTAGCGAATGCCAATGACAGAGCCAGAAGTGCTCAAGGATAACGGGACGCCACGTGGTTCTGTTGCGAGCAGCAGCCCGAGGATGCTTCGGTAGTAGCAAGGGGGCAGTGCATGGCAGCAGAAGGAAATGATTCCAACAAATTCCAACAAATCAGCGCGTGTGAACCTGGTTGCATTGGCAATGACCTCCATCGACACCTCGCTCTCGCCAAAGCAGGTTCTGGCTTTTGTCAAATGTGCAAGAATTATGAGTCTTTGTGACCCAGTTTGACGCCGCAGAACTTACCCAAATGCATGCTGTTCAAGCCGGCATGTGGCGGAGCAAGCACATGCCCGTCCCCTAGATGGTTGGGCGACGACGTGGTAAAAGTGACCTTCGTCGAACAGGTCTGCAAGCTGCCTCGACGTCCAGGGTCGTACGACCCTAAACACTACGAAACAGAAAAACTATAGGGTAGGATGTGGGGAAAGAGAGGCACTGATATACAAAGCGCTTCTTTTGTAAGCTTACCAGGTGCAGATGCATGCTGCCAAATTCCTTAATTCCCGTGCAGCCACATCCATTACCTCGCCCGCGTCAGATCTGCTCCTCTTTCAGGGTCTCAACAGCTTGTGACCAGTCGAGGCAGCGGAGCTTGTGGATGTCTTCGGGAGCCGGCTTGAAGATGTTTGCAAGTCGTCTTCTCCAGCTTGCACTGCAGCTCGCGATGCGCGATGGGGCGACGGGAGGATGTTGTTCGCCAGTTTGCCAGGGCTCTCCTTCTCAATGCAGGCAACCCAGGTTGTTGACACTTGGGCCTGTGAACAACAACAATACCAGAAGCTGCAAAAGTCCTGCATCCACAGCTCCTGCAGGAACACGGAATCCCAACAGCGCATGTTAGACTGGTGCTGCCTGCAGGGAAGTGCATGCTCTCAGGCCGCAGATACAGCGAACATAACAACCAGAACGTTGGCCAACGAACCTACTTGCTACGGTGGCCTTTGTCAATGGCTTCAACTGGCGCACAAAGTCGGCGAATGACACGGTAGCATTGCCTCAGCAAATCAGTGGGATCCTGTGGGATCCTGGCTTTCGCTTGAGCAGTTGGAAGAGCTCACGGCGGCTCTTTTTGCGGTCAATTCTCCACGCCGCCTCAGCGCTCAATTCAGCGCAAAGGACTTTTCTGGGTAGTCATGCCTGCCAAAATCGCAGGCACAAAGCAAATGTTGAAAGAAACGAAGTCTAACGCATGTTTCTGCGCATGGACATCATTTTTATGTACAAGCATCTGAGCAAAGGAGCTCTCAATAAGGACAGCAATCAGAAACTGCCACGTTTCAGGCAGTCCAGCACAGGCATGAGATGCTCACTGCAGAATGCCGACGAGCTTGCCGATGCTCTTATCGTTGCCCCGTGCAAGCATGCGGGAGTAATTCTCCAGCATTACATCCTGCATGATGTGCTGGACTCTAGGGACTCGGACTAACAAGTATATCAGTTTATAAGAATAGAAAAGACGCACCCCGCCCAACACTTGCTGCAAAGCCACGTACCGCTCCGGATTGCGCCCTGTGCAATCCAGCAAGAACAAAGCGCTTGGGGATCGAGTGCAACTGTCGATCCGACTGATGCAAGGGTCGGAATGGTAACTCAACCCTCGCCTCTGCTGGATACTGGACGTGGTTGACACGCGCGACCAAGTCTGGCGGAGGGCCTCAGCAGGCTAACAGTGACTGTGGGTCAACCCACAATAACAGACATCATTCAAATCATGTCCTCAAAATGAACAAAGAGAGCCAACTTAAGCAAGAGAATGTGTGGTCAGATTGAAGACAGGAAGCTCGCGTGCTGCAACAGCAGTGCTGATGCCTGTTTCATACTGCGTCCAAGCTGACTCAACATGACACTCGTTGATCACTGCACATGCGGCTGCAATCACACAACAGGAACATGTTATTGCAAGCGGGCGGCCGTACCTCTTTGCCGATGTTGGCCTTTCCTGTGGCTCAGCATCTTCACCCTCTTTGGCCTCTTGCGCATGATGGTACACATGCCCATCGGTTCCTCAGCATTTCTTGAGTTGCGAGCGACGAAGCTCACCAGTTACGGCAAATGCACAAGCAGGTGATGCCAAAAATGCTCTCGAGGTGCCTATCGTACCACGGCCAGGAGATTGGGATCGATCTTTAAAGCATGAGATGCAGTGCTTTGTTGTTCCGGCTGCCACCATTTCATCATTTGTATCCAGCATCAGAACCTTCTGCCCCAGGCTGTGCCGCATGTTTTCTAGGGCGGATTCCACGAGGTCGTTCAACCTTACCACCAAGTAAGTGTTCAATGCAGCACATACTTAATACCTAGCCGCAACTGGACCTCCCCCTCTTGCATCCTTTTGCAGGGCCTGGCACCTTTCCATCACCCAGGTAACGCTGCGGGCTGTCCAGTTGTCCAAGCTCTTGAAACAGTTAAAGCGAGTCAAGCAGCTGCGTGCGGAACCTCGAAACGACCTTGTCCAACTCCTGGCGGGTCCGCTCCTGCTTCTCTCGGAGCTCGGCAGACAACTCCTGCATGCAGCTTTGTGGCCCTGTCTGGCGTTTGGCTTCCTATGCTCGTTTGGGGTACGTGAGTCTGGGCTTTCGCCAGGTTTCCAGAAGGAGCTGGATGCTTCTACGGTGCAGGATGTCGTCGGTCGTAGGGTCTTAGGACCACTTACAGTTTTTCATTCACAATCCCCCCAGGCAGCAGGCGGGTTTTTGGTGTGCTTGGCATCGTGGTGCTTGTATGCAATTGCCGTTCCCCGCCAGTCTCCTTTGTTCTTGCCGTGGATTACTACCCAGCCATTCCCTTCTTGAAAAAGAACGCCAGGCAACGATGATTTCTGGCAGCAGCAGGATTTGCAGTGCTTCCAAGTCGGCATCCCCGACGAACTACCTGCTCCTCCTGTTCCTGCTCCTAGTCCTGCCAAACCTCCAATCCTCCCAACCTCGGTCCTAACCTCCTGGCCTAACCTCTTCCTCATCATTGCCAGCGTTGTCCTGACGTCCATGATTGCTGCCATCATCATCATCATCATCATAATCATCATCATCATCATTATCATCATCATCATCGTCATCTTCATCCCCATCGTCATCCTCATCCACATCACCATCATCATCCTCCTCATCACCATCCTCATCCTCATCATCATCCTCATCATTCTCATCATCATAGTCACCATCATCATGCTCATCACCCTTCTCATCATCATCATCATCATCGTCATCATCATCATCACCATCGCAGCCATCATCACCATCGTCATCATCACCGTCACCATCGTCATCGCCATCATCGTCCTGCTCGCCGCCGTCGCCATCTTCGTCTTCCTTTTCTCCGTTAGCATCTTCAGCATCAGGAAAATTAGAGAGAAGTAAACCCTGTTAGCATTTAAGTTCCTGTCAGAGGGGCTCAACCGGGCTTACCCCTCCTTATTATATACTGTCCTCATTATTGATATGTGTAGTCGTAGGCGGCTAGGAGGAGGATGGGGAGGAGGAGGAGGAGGCGGCCCTCTTGCTGCGATTTGACGGTGTCCTGCATCTCATCAAAAAGCCTGGCAAGGAAAGTGCACAGCATCTATCACATGCCGGCAGCCTGCTCATGCCTCCGCTCCATTCTCCGCAGTGCTGCATCCATCTCTTCCTTCAGGTTGCTGAGGTCAAGCTTCTGGAGTGAATTGAAAGCTTCTTGCATCTTGACTTTCCTGAGCCGTGATCAACAGGCGCGACTTTCAATAAAGGCTGCAGCAAGGAAAGACCTGCTTGTGGTGGCCGGGCCACAGATCCTCGATATCAGAAGCATGCTCCTCCACCACCTGGAGTCCGAAAGCGAATCAGCACAGAAGTAGCCTCTCCACAGTCAATGCCTCGCTGAGCTGGTCGACTTTGCCACCAGTCTCCGCGAACCGCATGTCAACCGAACGTCCCAGGCCCTGAATCGCATGTCAGGAGACACCCCATCATGGTCACTGTCGATCTCAGACAATTTCTAGAGTCTCAGATGCGGGCGTTCAGTCTAGCTTGAAGAAGCTCAAAGTCGTGTGCATTTTGCTGGGTGGCCTGGCTGAGTTGAGCAGCAGAGGTGCCAATCGCAACTCGATCAGCTTTGATGTCCTCGTGCATCTCGCGAACGCACCCCTCCGTTTCTTCGATTCGTGCCTCCTGCAAGCAAAGAAGTCATCGAAGGCCATCAGCAGCACTGCCACAGCATCCACCACTAAGCTAGTGACGCAGCGGCTGATGCCCTGTCTAAGATCCTCCATGCAGCTCTCCCATCCTTGAATCACGGTGCTTGCAAAGCTTGCATTACACGTGCACAGGTCCATCCGCCCAATCACCCTGTGCTGTTCATTGGTGCTTTGTTTCGGGGCGGCTTCGAGCTACAACATTTGTCGCCGAAGGCACGGAGTGATCTTGGACTTGGACAATTGCCAGCTCCATCAACGCCCGGAATCTCGTCATTCAACAGCGCGTCTACTTCCAGCTCTAACTTGTCGATGCGAGCCACCAAGCCCTCCAGGAATCTATCCGACCGCACAAAGAGATACTGGCACACCCGCCTGCTTTGGCAAGTCAAGCTGTCGTTCGTTCTGAAGCTCCGAAAGCGAGGCTTCCGACAGGCGCAGTCGAGCGAGGATGGCCTCCAACAGGCCTGACATCCAACTTGAGGGCTGCTCGCCTGGTCAAACCACGTCAAGCCCTGTTTAGTGCCCTGTTCCTGAAAGTCACCTCAGAACACTCACTCTGATCACAAATCTTGCAGCACCTTTCAAGGAGGAAGTGTCCACTGCCAGCAGGACGTCCGGCACCACAAGGGGTGGCTCCGCAGCCATCCACCCGATACTTCACTCAGAATTATGAAAATTACTTCTTGGCTATCCTGTGTGTACTACCGCGACTCAACCTGCAGGCTCTTTGGGGCTGGTGCCCTGAACCGAAAGCGAGTGACGCGCACAGCACAGCATCTGGAAGGCTCGAGCTCGACACCCTGCACCCGTCACGTCTCGGCCCAGCACCGGGCTGCGCATATCGCTGCCAGATCAGGTACAGATCACGCTCTGATGCTCGAAGCTGGAGGTGTGTCAAGGCACGCCTTGCGACAGGCACAAAACACATCCTCCCGCACAGTTCTGTCCTGACCTGAAATCAGGAAGTGTGAAGCCCTGGCGGCCCTGTGCCAAAAAGCTGAAGACATCACTCAATGCGGTGATGTCATGGCCTCGTCAGCTTGGCATACAGGCTGCACAACTAAACGAGGCTCACACTACCCCATATGCAGTCGACATCGGGGTCCCAGCCAAGGAATTGAGCGAGCCGAAGCCTTCAATAATGCAACGAAAGACTGCCCAAACTCGCAAGCAATTCCAGGACGTCGCGCCTGTCTTTTTCCAGCTCCTGCCAAAACAGCACCAGGTATTAGCCGGTCTAGCCTTCTGTCATGCCCAGCGTCCTCGGCAGCAACTGCTGCTGCTGTGATGGTGCGGTGCAGCTGGCCACGTGCCTGCCGGCCAGCAAGGACTTGAAAGCAACCTCTTGGTTTGCCGACATCGTCGAATCCGAGAGGATAGGAACGAAAAGATTGTTTCATTGCAGCATCATGACTACCAAGTCTCGCGCCCAGAATCCCGAGCAGCAAAGCCGAACAAAAGCAAACGGCCCTCTTGAGGGGTCGTCAAAACCTCTGTTCAATCCTTTGACACCAACAACCCCTTTGAGCCTTGCGCGTTAATGGTGCGCGCAGCTTCCGCGGAGCCAAGTGTCCCTTGCACGTGGCCCTTTGAGCCTGCTCCAACCTTTAAGCCTTTGCGCGCCCTTTTGCACGTTTCGGGTGCTTGCGTACGGCTGAAACCCCAGTTTGCCGAGGTTCCCCTCCTCGAAAGCGCTTTCGGCTTGCGACGCACGGTGCCATAGCAAGGCTAGATTTGGGGCCCATGCTGCTACGGACACAAAAGGGATGGGGGATTGGTCGAAGTTGGAGGGTGCCTCTTGCGCGCCCTTCCCCGTGCCTTTCGCGCTGAACCCTGTGTAAAACTGATTTTGGCTGTTTTCGGGTCTAGGAGCAGGAGCAGTACTGTAGCAGTTGTAGTAGCAGTCGTCGTCGTTCTCGTCGTCGTCGCCGTCATTGCCGTCGTCTTGTAAGATCTGAGGATACCCTTGCGCACACCCCTTGCGCACATCGGCTTTTCAAGCAACCGGTGCGCAACCCGTAAGGGCATGCGACTGTTGCTTACGCGCGCTTGCGTGCCCATTTGTTGATGCTGGCTAGCTCTTCGATGGCTTGGGTACTCGAACTCCACATTTTCCGGCTCAATCTGCGGATTGAGTGTCCAAGGTCACGAACCTCGAAGCCTTCTCTCTGCAAAACATGTTCGCACCCGGTTGGGTATATGGGCCGCATAGCCACCAACCACAAAGACTGAGTTTTCAGTTTTGCACTTCGCTTCTTCTGCGCCACGCGAAATGACATCGGCCCTGACATCAAATCACCCAATGTACGACACTCCACCAAGTGTATGAAAGCTGGTGCCCCTTCCGCAGTTTATCCAGAGTCTGCTGCCACCCTTGTCACTAGCAGATGCCATAGTTGCACCGCGATATACAAACGATTCTTATTATGGTGTTTGCAGTATAAACAGCTGTCACCCAGCAGCCCGAACTTCTTCATGGGCCCATCGGCAGAGTGCGGAAAGCAGCTGCTTGCGGCAAGACGGTGCCTGCACGGACAAGCGACTGGCCCCTGTCTCGTCCTCCCAGCCTGGAGATGGAAAGCTCAGAGGATGCCATCCCACCCCGCCCACACCCTCTGGTATCAGGCCTGAAGAAGTGCTACTCACGACCGTACAGCGGAAAATAGTTCCGCACGAGGGGCACCGAACCTCGCAGGGCGCACATACGTGTTCTTTGTGCTCGTGCATGGCTCGTGATGGGCTGTGCAGCCCCTGCCTCGGGACAGTTCGTGGCGTCTGAGTCACGTTGCACCCGAAGCCCACAGGTTGGGCAAGTCTCGGAGTTCCTGAAAGCTTCCGGATTCCAGACTCTGTCGGATCTCTGATTCGGCGACGCTTCTTGTCGCTCTTCTCGTTTTTGCGGTCTTTCTAGATGGCCCGACTTGAAACTTTCTGTCGCGGCAGCCGCCTGACCCAAGCGGTTCCTCCACTTGCACGGGCCCTTCTTCGAAGTTAAAGAAGCATCCCCAAACTCCAGCTGCTCTCGCCTCCTCGTCTTCTAAATCTAGCCACCCAAGCATTTCTCACTTCGGCCTGCATTGGCTGCGCAAAACCTGCCCCTGAAACCATATCTCACCCAGACGGACCCATGGGAGGTGCTGCCGAGGGTCTGTAGAACATACATCACCGATTTCGCTTCAATGTCATTTGGGCATTTTCCAAGCGCCTCCATGCATGAAACCCCGCGGAAATATGATGTGGAATAGATGTTGCAGGCACCTCGTACTCCTTGGAGTCCACCGGATACATGAGCACCCCGAACTCTCTCAAAGACAAACGACCCGGATGGCTGGTTTCGTCGCACCTCCACACAGCGGTATGCTGGGTACCAGTTCAGCACCACAGCTGTCGGGCATTGCCTACGTCGCAGCTGAACTTCTTGTACCATAGCACCTGCAAGCAGGTGGGTCGTGGGGGGTGCGGGGGGCAAACCGTCAGAATCAAGATCCGGGCAGATGCTGGAGAAGGTGCCTGGGCTGAACAGTCCACGCTCGGGAGTCGACGCATGAACAGCCTCCATGGTGAAGCTATGCTGGACAAGGGGCAGGAGCCCCGGAAGTCTTGCACCAACTGCCAGATGTCGATGTCCATCAGGTAGCCCTGGACATGAAAACCAGTGCAATGCCAGGTCAGCACACACAGATGCACACATGCCCTTCGGCCTGGCCCATGGGATCCAAGCTCCGGAACAAAGCCAAAAGTGGACATGCCGGTCGCAGAGCCTCAAACCAACGCCAAAGAAAAACCTAGCACTCCTAGTGTCCTGGCCTTGTAGCCTTCAAACCAAGCAGGAGAAGCCTTGCCATCTTCAGCGGCTACATCAGTCGTCGCTTGGCGGAGCATGGTCTGCACCACTGCCACAAGCAGCCTGAAGGACGTCCGAACGTAGAATTCCACAGCACACTTCAATCAATACTGGCCTGCTCGTTGCCGTGCAGCTCTCGGGCGTCCACATGGGGTCGTATCCTGCAGAAGCATGAGGCAAGCTGAGCTCGGCCGTGAAGGCTGTCCGTCTCCAGGAAAGCTGGGCTTCCCACTCAGTTGACGCTGAAAGTGCTCCAGGGACACTCCAGATCCAAAGCTTGTGGCATAGCGCTGCCACATAAGGTCTAGCTCCTTCCAGGGCTAAGGACAGCCAATCGGAACAGAAGAAGTGTTCACCAAGTGTGTGGCCTTCTCAGCCACAGGAATCTGCTGATCCCTGAAGGCCTTGCGCAGCAAATGGCATCAGGAGTCTGAGAGAACACCACAAGTGCCTGGAAACATAACAGAGCCACCCCACCTGCCGCAGACCCACGATGTCGAAGGTGGGCTGTCCCGAAGAAATGTAATCTCAGCTGCGAATCGGAAGCAACTGCAGGAAGCCAACGTCGCTTGCAGCCGAGAAGCAGAAGACCTCCTTCATGCAGGCCTCATCGAAGCCAGCATGGGCAGCCAATCTCTTCCGGTCTAGCTCCAGGTTCTCCGCCTGGGGGTGCTGCTTGATGCTGCTTGTGCTGCAGATACTGCAACTGAAATTCGAAGGTCAGGCCCCGGCCGTGCGGGCCACAGCCGCCACCAGTCTGCAGAGCGTGTAACGATCTGCAGCGGTGGCTTTGGGTGCATCCAGGAATGGCCTGACAGCAAAACAGGCCATGACCGCAAACTAGCAAGGGCGGGGACACGTGCTGCCTTGCCACGACGAAGCACCTGCCATCAGTACAGTGAAATCTTGGCATGACTTGGGCTAAGAAAGGGATGGACAGCGTCGCCGTGCGTTGCAGGTTCCCGCCTAAAAGCGGCTCCGCAGTTGCTGCAAACCACGTTCGGGCACGCCGACGAGTCCGAGTCTCTCTGAATTCGAAAACCACCTGAAGCATGTCTGTGGAAACCTGGTGCTAAAAGAAGAATTTCTATCGCCCTCTCGGCCGAGGGCAGCGTGGGCATGGCTCTGAAAACTGCAGCAGGTAAAGGATCGACTTGGCTTCGTCGTCTGTGGCAGAATCGCACATTGCCTTGTGCTCCTGCAGCATGCTTAGTCTTAGTCACAGCAGAGTTGCGGATTTTGCAGAGACGGAGAAGAGCAGCCTTGGACTGCAAAGGATAGATCAACTTTCCGAGGTCCCGGAACGTGAGATAGCCGAGAGGACGCCCTGCCGCGACGAAGCTGAAACTGTCGAGCCGACGAGGCCAAGGTCCCTTGGGCCTCCGCGCCGTAGATTTGCCTCGTGGACCAGAGAGCAGAGGCTGGCGTAGGACACGGGCGCCTCGTGCTCCTGGCAAACTTCAAGGGAAGAAGGGAGGCCACAGCCACGGGCCGCCCCTGTGCCCCGCTGTGCCGTGCCGTGTCCTTCACCAACTCCAAGAGGTCGGTATCCAGAACGTGGCCCTGCCGCGGTCAAAAAGACTGGCCGAAGCCTCGCCCCCCTGCGGGCCTTGTCCAGGGGATCGAGGCATCTGAAGAAGGCTGGGAGGCCTGAGACCGAGCGAAAGACATAGCCGCCAAGGGAGTCTTGAGCGCCGGTCCGCAAGCCCCGGCACCGGGACCGAGCATCGCCTCGTCAGAGGAGGACGCAAGGATACGCGAGGAAACGCGAGGCTCCCTGCCTTGGCATCCTCGGCCTCGGCGTCGCAGGCCGCTTGTCGGACCATGGCCTAAGCCAAGAAAACAACAGCGAAAAGGCGAAATCTACTGCCCGCCCGCCCTCCACCCAGCGGTGCCTGAAGAGCTGTTCGCAGCATTCGCAGCTCCCAGGCATCTCCGCGCTGTGGAGCCCACAGCGGCCCCTGACATTCAGATTATCTTTGCAGGCCGCTTCTTGCGCCTGTCTAGGGCAGCCCCTGGGCAAGCACCTCGTAGAAGCCGTCCGCTATTAAACGAGGGCTGCGCTCCGAATATGGACTCAGCCGAAGATCCGGTGGCCCGGGGCGCGGCATCCTTGGCGAATGAAATCGGAAGGTCGTGTTCGCTTTCGCGTGGCGAAGGAACAACACAGTCCCCATGAGTGCCCAAGGCTGCACTTGGAGCGAGGCCGACCCAAGGGGCTCTCTCTGAGCCGACCAATCGCCGAGCTCTGTGCCTGCCCGGGTTTCGAGAGGGCAGGGGTTCGCCCAAAGGCAAAAAGCGCCTCCAGCAGGAACGCCCGGTGCGACGGGGAGGGGGAATGAGGCGGCGCAGAGCGCTGTGGCAAGGGTAGCCGCGGTGCAAGCTGCCGCTCGGGCGACCCCGCGCCTGACAGCCCGGAATTCGGATGAGTCTTCGACACATGTGTCCGAAGTACTGCAATTCTAAACTAAACTGCGCTCCTGTTTTCGTCCCCTGCAAGTGCCTGCCCTTTCCCCAGAACATTTCAGCTGCCGTGTGTTGGATGCTAAAGAACCCAACATCCGGGCTTTCGGACGTGGCTCCGCGCGTCCAGACGCTTGAACTCGTGCAGTCGTCATGACCCCCACACTGCTTAGTAGCCCCAGAGTCAAGAAAATAATGAATCTATCTGCATCCGCCCTGCTAGCTCAGGCGGGGCTTCTTCGCGAAAAAGTTGGTCAAAGTTTCTTGCGATGAGCAAGGTTGCGTGCGTCGGCTCTCTGCTTCAGACAGGGCAACGACGCCACCAAGGCAAAGTCCTGGCAGTGGACATTCTCACATCTCATCTCAACAGGTCTCGGCAGATGCCGCCTTCGAAGCGCGCACAAACAGCGACGTGGTCTGAGTACCTGAGGCCAGATCGCTCTGAGACGGAACCCAGAATTTCACAGAACAGGCTTTGTTATCACAGGGCCGACGGTATTAATATTCGCCTCGGCCCCGGCCGGCATGGTCAGAGTTTCCCACTTCCTGTTTCCCCACCTTTTTATCCCCTCCCCAGCCCCCCTCCCCGGCCCCCCGGACCGCCCCGTGGCATAGTAGAACACGGTCCGTTTGGAAAAATAGATACGTGCTAGAGAAATGCATGTGCTAAGCAGATGCCCTTTAAATTCCTCTGCGACCATTTACCGGGGTCACAACCATAAATGATATCAGACCCTGCTTCAAGCACAGCCGGGCCGAGGCGGACGACGCGAAGAGTTTAAACTTATGCGTAGTATGCACGCAGCTGGCAGCCTCGGAGGAGTGTACAAGATGCCAGTATGTGGCGACCGGAACTGCGAGTTGTTCAGCCGCATGTCATCCTTCTGCAAGCCCAGCCCATCATCGTCGCTTTTCGACGCCCTCAGACGCCCGCACGCCTCTGCGTTTTGACAATCACAGCGCCGAAGAGACAGAGGTGCTTGAGACGTAATGTCGATGTGAGCAAGGCAACGCGGTTCCAACTCTTGGGCAAGCAGCGGGTGCGCTGTGCCAGGCCCCGAAGCACGTCGCAGCGTTTTGAGCAGCCTGAACGAAACAAGGCACTGGCTGCTACGCTGAAGTCTTCCGAAATGCCCCAAAGCCCTACAGCTGGCCTCTGCCGTCTCGGCCGCATGTAGCGGCGATGAGCCGGCCAGCTCCGAGGTCGGAGTCCTTACCAGATGCTTCTGCCTTGGAAGACGGTCTGTTGCAGCTGCTTGCGCCCCCCCTGCATTGCTTAACTGAGCTTGTCGCATAGAAGTATCGCAGAGGATATAGTCCAGTCGCGCCCCAGTGTTCGAGAAGCGTGAATTTGCGAGTTGATTCCACTGCGTATAACGGCCCAGGCAAGCGGCTCCATGGCAGAGTGCGAAAGTGTCAACGAAGGCTTTGCCTTCGGTTTCGCTGCCTTCGCTCCTCTCGCTCACCAGGGCTAACAGCCAGTCCACACACGGAGCCTCTCTCCTGACATGTCAGCGACCGGACAGGTATGGCAAGCATTATCTCTCCATGGCTTTTGTGTCAATGCTTCAGCTCAATTTGGTCCAGGAGTCACCCTGTCCGGAAGCGAACCCTCCACCTCCAGTTCCTCGAAAAGGACACCGAACTCGAGCAGTACCAGTTCATCGCTAAGGCCTGATGCAGTCACGAAAACAAGGGTCCAGGCCCAGGCTTGCAGTAGGCACACAACCGAAGTCTGCCAAAGGCGCCTTCTAGGAACCGAAGGGGGCTGTCGTCAGCTGAAACAGCTTTGCTGCGGCACCAGAGTTTGGGTAAGGAGGATCGCTCGACCTTCGTCTCAGAGCCCTTGATCCTCGTCATCGCCATAAGGACACGACCCGGCGGAAGCAAGGGCAGGTCTGGTGGCGGATGATTCGGAACCCTCAAGCCCTCCGGACCGTGCAGCAAAGCTTTCAGGCAACTCTTGGCGTTCTCTGCCGTCATTGTCAATTGTGCCTGCAGAGCTTTTTGGGCAGCTCCCACGGATATGTGAGACCCCGGCGAAGCGTCCTCCGGCAATGCCCACTCCTTCTTGCCACATACACGACCCTCGTCCACTTTCAGGCAAAGGCGAACAGGCGCTACATCAGCTGTGCGGTATGTAAGGTTCAGATCACCACAGACCAATACCTGCTTGCCAAGTTTTCGAGTTTCCTCTATGCGCATCTGAAGGAGGTGCAGGAATTTGACTTTCTGCTGTAACCTTGCTTCATCGACACTACCGTCCTCTTGCGAGTGCAGTGTAGGGACATACACGTTGAAGACGGCGAGGCCGCCCAAGTCCACGAGTAGACAGCGGCCTTCTTTGTCCATCTCATCCCGCAGAACCTCCTGAGTGGCCCGTGCCTGCGGAGCAAGGTCTTTCCGAATCCAGGTTGCCACACCGTTGTAACGGGAGGCACTGCCCTCTTGTCCATTGAAAGACCAGAAACTCTGATAGGCACCTGTCCTAGAGACAGCACCAAGTTGCTGGCACTGTTCCCGTGTCTTCATGTGACTCGCGCTGATTTTAGTCTCCTGAACGCAGAATATGTCGGCTTGATGTCGTTCGAGAAACAAGTCCAGGCTGCCGAAATGAGTCTTTATGAGGTCGTGGGTCCTCCAACAACAGCACAGCAAGATCAAGCCGTCTGTAAAGAAGATGCCAGCGCATCGTCTAAGCTGTCCTCGAAAAGCCAGCTGAGTTCCAGGAAACAACCAGCAGCGAATCCACTGTGGTAGCAGCAATGTTTGCTTTGGCTGCTGACGCCTTGTAGGAACCCATTCCGGCTCGACTTTGCAGTTCAGCGCCCTACACGTTGCACAGTCCGCTCTTTACGCCTTGTCACCGTGTGCTTTGCGCTGGCTTCTTTTACATCATCCGGGCCCAAGCTTTGTCTTGACTTGTCTTGCAGTCCGCTTCGACTTCGAGAGGCAAAAGCTGCGGCCAACTCCGTCGCTCGCACGCGATTTTTTTAAAGGTCGCAAGATGACATCCGCATGAATCCGCCTCTGGAAGGTGACAGGTGACGCCCAGGCACCTGACGCGGCAAAAGCACAAATCAGCCGGAACCAGGTCTGCAAGACTTCGGTTCAATGAGAGCCTCCTCCTCCCACCACGGCCATCCTCGATTCTCAACTCGTCCGGGAGGAGCACCCTCGGTAGTCCACCCGTGAGACTGCTTGCCCACACAGGATCCAGCATTGCATCAAGCTGCGGGATCGCGTGCAAGGGCACGTGGCGAGGATGGCGCGTTCCTGTTTGAGGGGTGAGGGGTGACAATCATTCTTGCTGGCCGAGGAAGAGCATTTCCTAAGGATCTGCGGATCAGGGCTGTTGCAGGTCAAATTCCACTCGTGTCTATGATCATGGTACCATGTCGTGTCCAGGAGGGATAAAGAGCACCACTGAATATCTGTCCACTGTTCTTGTCGCTGTTACGACTGAAGCTGAAAGTCACTGCACACACGATCGACAAGCATACCTGAAGAACCTGAAGGCCACATTGACGTGAACATCTGTGGCTCAAGACGCTGAGCAGAAAAGTGCTAGCGCAATGCCGGGTGTCATGGATACTTGATTTGTGGAAGTGGCAAATACCCTATCGGCCCTATCAGTGATGCCAGTGTTGGCCCCGTCAGGGATCCATGTCGGGACAGGCAAAACAAACGGCTTTCTGGCCACGTACTTTAAAAACCTCGAATATTACCTACTCTTTCCAAACGAAGGACGAAGGATCGTTCATGCACTGCACCCTTTCTGGCCCCCGAGGTTCTGGCACAGATCTCGGAGAGGCCACAGCCTCTGCTCAAGACGGAAGCTACAGTCTGCTTGCATGAGCATTGGGCAACGCGGCCTGCCTTGGATGGCTGGTAAAGGCCGATGGGTCTTGATGGCTCCTGAATTCTGGTGGAAGCCCACACGCGGTTGGTCGTTTTGCACGAGGGAACTCCGTAAGGGCTTCACAAGCATTGGCGGAGGTGGCGGCGAAAGCCTTTCGAGCGAAGGTTTTGTAGCTGCAGGCTAAAGAAACCAGCAGCAGGAATCGAGGCCAAGCCACTGGTAGGCAGGGATGATCACGTCAACCACAGGCTTGCGAGATTCTGGAAGGACCCTGAGCTGAAGTCAAAACGAGATCGCCCTTGAAGATTGGGGTCAGGGCCTGCGATCGCCTCCGTTTGCTTGCCTCCAATCGATGCTCCATTTCAGGTCCGATACACCCACCATCGGTTAGGGCCCTGCCTGAAGGGCCATTCCCTCGACTGCCAGAGGGGAGCCTGGATGGGAGCTCCAGGCCCCCCTGGCAGGCCTCCGAACTGGGCTCTCCATCGAACACTTCGCGGCAAAGGGGCAAAGGGGGGCGGCTCCTGGCCTGGACCTCGTCGAGGCGACAGCTCCTGTCGTTCAAGCCAGCCTGGCACGGCCAGCGGCCCTTCTAAATAAGAAAAAACAAGACCCGGCGCTTTCACCAACCTCTGCAATTGCTAGCCTCCGCCGCGGCCTGCGAGCTCTTGAACAACCCGTAAGTAAGCCGTAAGCGGGCTCCCGCCCTGTCGCCTGTCTTGCTGCACATGCAGCCTGTCTGCCAGGGCTCGCAGCGGACTTCCTGCACGAAAACCATGCACCCTCAGGATCAACTTTACTGAGAGCTTCTCCTTGCCTGGGGCTCCAGGAGGCACTTCCCGAGCCACTGCGAAGCTCACCTGCAAGCACACGAAGCAGGGAAGGCACGAAATCAGAGTCTGCGACCAGATCTGCCACGCACCTCGTTGGGCCGAAGCTGCCTGATTTCGGCTGCATCAGCCCGTGTTTTAGCGCACTTGATCAACAGGACTCTTGCCTGGAAAGCTCTCATCTCCGGACCACCGCGAATCCAACCTCCAAGCCGCCGCTCAGGACTGCTGGCGCAAGTGTTCCACTCCTGCCTGGCTGAGGTTGCAGGATGAAGTCCACAAGCTCCTCCGCTCTTACGTCAACTTCACTGGCAGCATCTTGTATTCTGGGAACTTGCCATTCAAGCGACGCAGCTCCTCGGCAGAAGCTGCAGGGAGGCTGCCACTCGTCCAATTACTCTCTAAGCCCACGCGGCGCAACAGTGCTTCGCAGCGCACATCGTCGCATACCTCCATGCACTCTTAGCAGAAGCAGAGTGCAGCAAGGCCTACTGCCACTGTGCCTTCAGACGATCCACCAGCAAATGGCGGGGCCCACCCGGCGCTGTCAATAATGCCTCCTCGGAATTGGGTAGGTCAGTCTTCGACCTCGTGGATCCCAGCAACAGCTGGGGCCAAAGACGAGAGACCTCCTGTGCGGCTGCAGGTCTGCGAGGCGACGCCTCTGAATTCCGAGACCTGAGCTTCACAAAGGTCCGGCTGCGCGGCCTTCCGTCGCCCTTCCAAGCACTCGGCGTGCCAGCAGATCGCGCTCGCCTTCGATCAGGCGACAGAACCTGTCAGACTCAAAGGCCAAGGAGTTGTCCCGATTCCTGTCAGGAGCCTGTAAGCGACCTCGCTTGGGATGAAGTGGTTCGACCGACCTCAGCTGGTCGAATTTGCTGTGCTCACGGCACACGGGGTCCAGCTCATCGCAGGGCCTTCACGACAGGTGCTTCGCAGCAAAGTGGCCTCCTTGAACAAGAAGACAGATTCGGCAAATTCAATCTCGAGATTCGTGCTGAAAATACATTGCACAAGCGGCTGTGTTCAGCTGCAGACCTTCAGCCATGAGTTCGCTGGATCTCGCGGCAGCACCAAGAGGAGAAAGCCATTGTAACCTCTAGGGAGCACCAGTCGATGCTGGTCGAGCAGAACACACGGGCTCTGCTGGCACAGTCAGTGCATGGCGCAGCTCGCCGTGGGGATTGAGTACAGGTGCGAGCACAGCTGCCACCTCAATCAAGGGGACATGGCATGCAAACATCATTTGAGCACAAGTCATAGAGCAGTCGATGGCGGGTATCACACACTCTCGAATGCCACCCGACACTGTGACTCTTGAATGTCTTGCAACGCGCAATACACCACGACTGGTCCAACATGGCGCAAGCATTTCAGGCCTCCTCCAAGAGTATGCCAGCAGCACTATGGAGTTGTTGGCCGAGCCAGTTGAACACATCGTGGACACTGACCCAGCCCTGGGGCGGAGACATCATGTCATATCATGTCAGAATCACAGAATGTCACAGCAGGATTCAGCAGGCACTCTAGACTCTAGAAATCAGCCCGTCCACCTGATGAGCTGACGACCATTTCCCGAAGAGGCTCCTACGATTGCAGTGGGAGACCCGCGCGCCGTGAGAAAGCCCCCAAGTCATCGGGGTCATGAAAAACTCATTGGGATCGAACTCACGCAGCTCGCAGAGGCGACATCTTGCCTGGCAGTCTCTGCTTGGCTGAGCCGTGTGTGCCCTTTGCTTGACGTTTAGTGACTTAGTGACAGCAGCTATGCAGCTATGTCTCTCCACAAGTCCCAGGCTGTGTTTGACGGCTACAACGGTTATAAAATCCCACTCGCCTTGCCTGCTCCAAAGCCAGTTCCCCTTCTGCAGCCACCTCCAGAAAGCGAAGAAGCATTGCAGATAATCTATGTGCTGATGCTGTTGGGTATAAATTGCCGTGGACCGTATGGAATGCTTGACGGCTGCTCGGCTAGATGAATCTTCTGCTGCTTCCACTGACATGCCTTGAGTTTGGTTTCTTTGACACCGCGGTTTCTCTGTGTCGCATTAATCGACTGATGAAGCTCGAAGGATTCGCGATCGCATTTCATACTGTCTCGGTGCAGCGATGCTGGGCAGAGGGTCATAACTTCATTGAAGCCCTGCATCATCGCATCATCTTTCGCGACTCGAGACCTGATTCCTTTGCTACGCCGACTGACTTGACACCAGCGCCTGCAGAATCGCGAGGGCGGAGGACTCCTGCTCACTGCTGACGCCCCAGGCATCCGAACCTGCGAATTGAAGGCTTCCATTTCCTCCACGTACACCTGCCTGTGCCTGCCTGTGCCTCTGTGCCTGCCTGTGCCTGCCTGTGCCTGCCTGTGCCTGCCTGTGCCTGCCTGTGCCTTCCCACCAGGCCTGCCATGGAGCTGCGCAAACCGGAGCTCCAAGTCCGGAAACAGGACACGGAACCTGTCAATTTTCGTTCGGCTGTGCGTGACGGCAAATGTGCGTGTTAGAAAAGATGAACATACATGAACTCCGACCGTAGCAAGCAGTCCTGGCCTTGGCTTGCTCAACTAGCTTGCATGAAGCCATCACATGTTCGTGGATGGGCCAGCATGAATTTGCGTGCATTTTTCGATGTTCGGTTTGTATGCTTACAAGAAAGCGCGAAGAGTCAAGTGTTCGATGGCTCCTCATGTACATCCGTGGCTGGTCCAAAACAGAACGATGCAAACACACATGATACAGATGCTTGTTCATAGAATTGGTGAAGCGTCTGCGGTATGTGCACTAAATTTGAAAGCTGGCAGCAGTCCCACACAGAATGTAATTTTGTAAGCAGGCCGGCTCGGTGCTGGTTATCCTTACTGCCATGTCTGCAGCATCCGGTGCACGAAGATTTTCTTAATGTACCGGTCGACGATCGCGGGTCACGCAGGCACAGTCTTTTGCCGGCGTCTCTTTGGCGTGAGCTCTGCAAACCCCTCGACCCTGCATGCGCGGCTACACGATCTTCATGAAGCCGCCCTTACAAGTATCTTTGCCTCGGAAATGAGGCCATCAATGCGGCACCGGCCCGGACATCTCAGGAGCCTGACCAGTGCATAACAAGCCGTGAAGCAGCGGCTTCACCCTTCAGCAAGCCCTCGCCTCTATCCGGTTGCGGGCGTGGCAGATCCCTGAGACACGCTCCCACTCTTTTGCTGTCACATCTAACCATGGAATCTTGTCTGCAATGATTTTGGGATGTCGCGCACGCTATGTTCAATCATCTCAACATTTCACCGCAGTGGAAACGCAAGGCACATGGAAACGCGAATTACCCAGGAAGCAAGCATGGGGCTGCGCCGACAGCCGGAATTAGATGCCTATTTATGCTGTGCAGCCGAGAGGGCATGGCAGCCTTGAGCAAGCATGTATGTGTCCGATGACCAAAGCCATCATGAGCATTGTCCAACTCACAACACAACAGATCCAACAGAAGCCAGGGATGCAAACCAACATGCAACAGACCGGAAGCTGGTCGCACCTCATCACCTTCGTCACTAGTGATGGGCATATACAGCGCCTGTGACAGGAAAGACAGGCAAAAGCTTCTCTTGACTTCCTCAACTGTTTTCACTGCTCTTTGCCTTGTCATGGTAATTGCCGTTCTTGCGACCTGCAGCAACGCTGCAGTGCCGACGGACGGCAGGTACTTATATCCACGTCTTTACAGCTCGAGGCCACCCTTCTTAGCTGCGAGCGTTGGCGCTTCTGCCTCCTCTCGCACCAGCAGCCCAGGCACGTCAAGATCTCACGAAGGAGGCACTTCTCGAAGCAGGGGGCTTGCTCTGCAACTGCGAGGGGCAGCTTGGCTGCAGGCCACAACAAGCAAAACGAAAAGACCGGCCAGGGCGTAATAGAACCAAGAAGACTCGTGTACCATCACCTTCAAAACAGTGTGAAGGTTCCATGCGAACTGTTCATACCACCACTGAGCTCCGGGCCAAGAAATCATCCGCACCTTTACAAAGGAAAGGGACAAAACCTACCATGCAGGCACCGCATACCAAGATTGCTCTGAACGCGACAGGTGACAACACCAGATCTTCTTAAGACTTTGTCAAGAAAGCACGGCTGCCTGACGTAGCGGCGTCACGTGCAGAGACCTGAGTGCTGTCTCGTTTCTATGCATCTAGCTGTTGCTCATTTTCCCAACAAACTGTGAGAAGGCGAATGAAAGGATGCTGAAATATTCCCTTCAACGAGCCCCGGGTCAGGCACCTTCGACTTCAGGAGTGTTGGGTGGAAGTTGCCTTTCAGCCATGAAGACCCCACCTTCCTCAAGGACGGTTCCCAAGATGCCCCCACCCGCAAAGCCCTCACTTTAAATGCAGCGGGGGTCTGCTACTGAAACTCCAAGGACCGTATCGCCCCATCGGGCTTGCCTTGCCACACGTAAGGCCGAAACATCTGGAATGAAAGCACATCTTGCCGGACCAGAAACTGCCGCCTGCAAAGTGGCGTGTTGGACTACTGGGGACATGCTGCATCTCATGTCGTGTTGACAATGCCGCACAGCCCAACCATGCCTTGTTGGACGAAGCAGAAGAGGCATCTGCTCCTCATATGTTGGGCTATCGTGCATATCTGGAGCAACTTGCCGCAACACTTCACGTACTGGACCCTTGTCCGAACAACAAGGCGTGGCTGGTAGATTCGATCTCTTAGGAAGGTTATGTGCTCTCGATGCTGGATCCTCTGACCAATCTATCGGAATCTATCGTTTGTCCAAGCCTTGACACTGCAATGGCTGCACTCAATACGAGCATCGCTTCACACGAGGAAGCCGAAACTGTCAAAACAGGGTGTGCAGGCAATCCATGAGCTTCACAAATGCCGATGTTCAATTTACATAGTCTGATTCGTCCCGAGCCGCTTGTGAGGAGGCACCGGCTTGTGGCTCTGTAGTAGCTGAAGATGGTGCAGTTTTCGGCCTGGATCGCTTCTAGTGAATCCAGTGTTTGATAAATCACATTTCTCACATCAACAAGCTAGGCAAATTGCTTCGCGGCACATGGTCTGGCACTCTGTGGCAGTATCCGCCGTGATGTCCTTTTTAGCAAGGTCGCGCTGATCTATCCCGACCTGCTCGAACATGTGCGAGGGCGCAAGATGCAACCACTCGTGCAAAGAGGAGAGAAAGAACGGCCGAAGGTCCTGGTGATGGGAGAGGAACTCCACTCCCTCCTCGCAAACGAGTGCCGAAACCCTTTCAGACCGTCGCCGAATGCAGGCAAAGAGCCATGAAGCACCCGGAATCCGCTGTCACTTCCATGGTCAATGGAAAGGCCTCGCACTACGACACAAACAAAAAATGCTGAAAATAGCTACAGCTAGCCGGCCAAACATTGCCTCCAAGCTCATGCCATCACCTCCGACTGCATACCTGCCAGCCGTCATTGGACTTCAGCAGAGGCACAAGTCTTGAAGCTAAGGCGCTTGCGGGACGTCGGCTGCCAGCAATGCCTTTGCCACCTGGGAAACAGCCGTGAAGAAGAAGGAAGGCTCCAGTTGAAATTGGTGGTCGTCCCTGTTTGCAACTACGAAGCTATCCGCAAAGCTCAAGCGCTCTAATGGCGACGGGATATATGCAAGGTAAGCTCAAGACCAAAGCTTTACATCACAGACAAACAAGCAGTCATTCACACTTAACGTGTTCCAAGGTCTTCAGCGTATGACATATTACACAGGCTATATATACAATCTTGAACTAATGAGCCACAAAATCTGTGGTATGACACCTCCAGTCGCAAGCTTATGAAAAAGTATTGCCAGTAAATTCTATAAACACCTAGATACTCAAAAAGGTGAAAAAAGTACCACACCAAGAGAAAGGTAAACAAAATCTGTAAAGCGGTAGCACAACAAGAGAAAAGTGAAGAAAAGGTATCTGGAAAGGTAGCACACGAACAGGAAGGAAAATACTCAAGTAAGCACAGGCCGGGCATGGCAGTCGGGGAGACTGGGAAGGAGGGGGGAGTTGAGGGGCGGCCCAGGGATCGGGGCAGATAGGCAGCACCAGGCAACTTTGTTCAATGTTGGTTCTCGCCCTTACCTTTCCCGGCACCTTCTCTTGACCTTTGGTTTCACGGGCCCACTTTACTTTACCTTTTGCTGCTCCTTGTTTTTTAAAGCCCTGGGTGAAGCCTCACCTTGTTTCTACCCTTCTCCTTATGTTTTTTCATTTGTTCCTGTTTTACCTTTGTTTTACGTGCTTTCTGCCGTTTCCCTAGCAAACATTTAGACTTCCAGATTAAGCCTTAGAGTGCGAAGGTCCGGAACCCGGTGAAGTGGACGAGAGGGTCCGTTTAAACACGCTCGATCCTTCCGGTTTATCGCGAGGTTGCTCCGATAGCGGAAGCGCGGGGTCATACAATGTGGCCGAACCTGATGACGCCATTGCGCGGGAGTGCCAGGAGGCCGAAGAAACCCATCAACTTTTGAGGTTGTAGATGCATGCAACGCATACCTTCAGGCACAGGATGCGCCCCTGGAAGATTATTCCAAGCCCCTGCCATCGAATTATCACCGCAAAAGATTTGATAGAGCCGCCAAGCCTATCAATCGTGCTTGGCCACCGAGGTGCCAGGACATTGACATACCGTCGACTGCACTCGGGAGCCGACGCCAGCACAAGGAGCGGCAGGACGGGTCAGGGCAACTGTCTGAACCCGTGGATGGGTCACTCTAGAGAAAAAGGCGATGGTGCTAAGATGGCAGATCCTCACGCACCCTTAAGCCCATTCCTCAGCCAGACCCTCCACAGACCTGAGCCCAAGCCAGAGCCAGGTCCCAAAACGTTTTTTAATAATATGAATCGACATGTGGGGCCCAGCAGAGGCCCACGGTTGGGGTGCTTTAATTAACGGATTAACGGGCGCAATGCAACGTCTCACAGCGCAGCTTGGGGCAAGCTATCACAACAATGCCTCAAAGCCTTAGCAAAACTCGTTTGCTTCTTTTAAGTGCAACCTCAAGCACCTCAGGCAAGCGTAGCCTTTTAGCATCGAGAAGGGCAACACTACCTTTGGAGGAGTGTTAGAGCGCCACGTGATTAACACCCGAGCCCGTAATCCGTTGCTCCTTGACCTTTTTGCACAGAGCACGTTGGGACGCATAAAAGACATGAAGTCGTGCACGTGCGAGGTGCGTGATGCCGACACAGGCTTGAAACAGGGCTTTTGCTTCGTAAGCTTAGCGCCTTTAAGGGTGAACTACTCAGGTGCGCTAGGGACCTCCAAGACCCTTAGCCTAAGTCACCAGGTAGGACCCTATCCGGCGCCTCGCGTGCTCTGCATCCTGGCACGACCCAGCGGCGCCCATCTGGGACCGAAGGAGGAGGGACCGGGTGGAGCAGCCATGGTGCTACAAACACCGGAGCTCGGTGAATATGGCCTCCTCTGGACACGACAGCCACCATGCCAATCGACCAATCGGCGATTGGCCGAACCCAGTCAGATTGACAGGTGGCTGCAAGCGTCAGCTTGAGCAAGGACACAGACACGGTGAGCGCGGTGCGGCATACACGGTAGCCCTAGCGATAGGGTTGAGCCTTTAGTCTTGAAGCCAGGCCCGCGTGTAGCCACGAAGAAGGCCCCGAAACCAACACCGAGAGCCGAAGTAGTGGTTCTGGTGCCAACCCCAGGTTCGGAAGTGGGCCCCGAACAGGCGCAACTCGAGACCGTGGTCCGAGTAGCGGAAGCGCAGCTTGAACCCATAGAGGTCAAGCTGGAACGTCACCGCCCAGTAGAGATTAACCCGTAGAGGGTGATTGGACTACGGCAGCCTAGAGGGCGGAAGCAACAGAGATTCAGAGGCCCCGAACAAACGAACACCCCCGAAGCCTCCAGCTCCTAGTTAGGAAGAAATCGGCTGATTGAAGTGATTCAGGTTCGGATGTTGAGACTATTGAGATGCAATGGGGTTTGACGTCGCCTTCGGAGGGTCTTGTGGTAGGTGCTGAGGATTCGGGTACTGGTTTCAGATCCATTTGTTCTTTGACTGTTTTGAGCGAGGGTAGGAGGAAGCTAGTAACCAAGGGTTTTAGCCAACTAGAGGACCACGACAAGGCCCTTCAGAAACTCCTCGATGTAAGCAATTTGGTACAAACATCGCTGAGTTTGCTAGCGAGAGGTTCGCCATTTTCAGGACCCGATGATCCATCTTCTTGAGGTCGGGCACCGAATGGGGCTAGACAGGAGCTCCAGCAGACAGGTCTTGGTTTAGTGGTTTCACCTATTACAAAACAAGAACCCCGAAGAAGGGCTTAACACGGCTAGCTTGATAGATGAAGTGGTAAGGTTTTCTTGAGTTATCTAGCACACTATACCTATTCTTGGATGGCGCACACACAGCTAGATGCAAAGAACCGAAACACCCCACGTACGGTATAGGGGACAGTAGCTTTCATAGCAATATGCAGAGTTTGCTTGATGACTGCGAAGGGCGGACTAAAAGTAGACACCCGTACATGGTGCCACGCAATTCTGAGGATGTCCTCAGCCAAGATTTCCTTATCTGGCTTGGGCAGAAGAAGATGGGACGTTTGGTCATCTCGAGAATCCTTGATAGACCCGTCGGAGGAGGTTATCGTCCAGAAGACCGAGCTCGACAACCAGGACGTGCCGGGCCTACCCATAACAAAGGAGGCTGAGAGGAGAGCGAAGTGTTGAGAACATGACCACAGCCAATACGCGTAGCGATTCGCAGACTTCGTCGTCAGTTCGGTCAGTGCCCAAAAAAGGTTTTAATCAACTTGCTGCGCAAACAATAGATAAAACATGGAGGCCGCGAAGTTTAACAGGTGCAATGAGTGTGAAAACGCACAGCCGAGGCGCAACGTGCATACCGTATCCTTACCGGAACGGTACTCATTCAACCATGCTTTGGGGACTGATGTTTTGGATGTTTGGATGCTAGAGGCACCAAATTTCAGGTTCTGAATCTGGGTTTTGTGCGCGAGGGCGAAGGCATCAGCCAGGTGCTTTGAGGCCATCCAACGGCGATGGACCTGTTGAGCCGGAACCGAGGATTACACAACCGTGGTGTTTTGGCGCAATTCTGTGGAGCCTCTGGAAGACAGGTGACACAAGCACTCTTAGAGACACCAAAGGCAACAGGACGCATTGAGCGACACGGTGGGGCACTCAAGGCCATGGCGCGTAAGGTCGTAGCCCAACTCCAGGCGGTTGGGCACCAGCAACTCCAAACAGTACACCGCAAGTGCTGTACCAAGAACACCATCTTACGACATGGCGGCTATTGCCCTCGCAGTAGGTACTTGGAAAGACCTCACGTGGACAACGCAGACTTTGGATCCCTAGAGGACCTAGCTGACCCGGAGAGCAGATTCGCCCTGATTCATCAGGCTAGAGCCCAAGCGAGAAGGCATTTACGCATTCGCGGATACCTCTTAGAGGGTCCAACACGTTTGGTTGCAACATACTCGGTAGGAGATGTGGTTTGTGGTTGTGGGGCGACAAAACCGGGAGGATTGTGTGGTCTACAGCCTCCAGGGTGATAGGTTTTGAAGGAACCCATAATGAGAGCATTCGGGTCCTTTGCGAAACGTTCCGGTTCCCCACGCTTCATATAGAGCCGGTTTTACCTTGTTTTACCAAACTCATTAATCCATGGACAGCAAGGGTTCGAGGACCTTGGAGATGTAACCGCAGAGGACGTCGAAGAGGCAGAACAGCCACAGGCACAAGGCGAGGCTTTGGAAGAGGACAGACCATGACCATCCTAAGGCCTTTTAGAGCTGTCAGCTATCTTTGAAGAAAATGAACAAGAGCTGCAGACCGACCCCGATCGAACTCACTGCCACCCGTGCAAACGCTGCCGACCCAGAGGCTGAGAGAACGTAGGAGGCACAGCAGCTCTGATCTCGTAGATGCGATACCAGCCTGTATCAGGCGATGTTTTGATGATAGGCGAGCTGTGGAAGGTGTCAATATGAGTATTCGGAAGAAACTCATACGTTTCTGGAAGGCGCCAATATGAGTATTCGGAGGAAACTCATAGGTTTCTGGAGTAAAAGTTTTATTGTCAGAGAACAGGGTGAGCAGGAACTCAGAGACCTCCCGGAGGCTCTGAAGTTACTCGGCGCGACTGTAAATCGACGGAAGCCGCTGCAAGGAACGGAAAAAATACGTGAACTTGAAATTCCAAGGCGCGATACTTATTAAGGGCTTGAGCTCCGGGAGCTACAAGACATAGGCCACGTGCATACCATCTAAATGGGTGAATACAATAAAGAACTATCATGGGCGTCTCAACCAGATTATGAACCACAGTTCAAACTTAGGGAAATTTCGCAGATTCCACAAATGTACGGACTGCTGCCCCGACCTCAGATCTTGAAACGCATGCTTTAGTAGCAGCATTTGCAGCATCGCATGGAAAACGCTGTTGAGTCTTCGGAAATCCGCAACGCCTATTTCCAAGCAGCCGATAGATCGTGGTCTACTCATGGGACAACCGAGCGGAGGTCTACCAAACGTAGATCCTGAAGCAATGTTGTTGATCAGAATACCAGTTTATGGATTCTGCGACAGCTAGGTTTGTTGGATTTCAGGTGAGCCGTATCTTCCCCGCGTTCTACTACTACCGAGAGAACGAAAAAGTTGTGTGTGCACTTACGACACACGTCAATGACTTCTTGTGCGCATCGATCCAGGGAGGCGGCAAGATCATCGATCACCTACTTAGAAAGTTCGAAGTAGGGCGCCGAGAGTCGTGACGTACTTATAGACCAAAAAACGTCACAGACAACAGAACACCAATAAAACAATGTACATAGACGTCAAGGCAAACCGAAAGCACTCGGATCTAATGGACCGAGGAGAGGAACGACAACTGCGTTCCGTTGCGGGAAACCTTTCCTTGGCTGGATATCTTGCACCGTGCATCGAAGCTTCGGAGATTGATAAAAAGAGCTACCATAGCTGCCTTGCACGAAGCAAACAAAGTGGTGGAACTCGGGCCTAAAGGTAGAAACCTTAAGCCAGGTTGCCGGAATGGACCTTTCGACTTTGACAAGTTAGGCATGCTAACCGCATCATATGCGAGCTTCGCAGAGGACTCTAATAATAGATCATAATAGATCCCAACAGGGCCGTATGCTTATAAGGCCGAAGCATATGGATATGCTTGAAATCTGTTTTAACCAAAATAGGAAAAACTACGAATAAAATACAAAACAGATACGAATTGGAAATACGTCCTGCGAATCGGAGAATACGAACAAAAAACTCCAAAATACGACAAAAAAAGAAAATAAATAGAAAAATAGGAACCTGGAGCCAAGAACAAATTTACACAAGAAATACGTTAACCATAAGAAAAAACTCTGATTCACCTATAGCAAAAATTAAGAAGTTACTGGGAAAATACAAAAAATAGGAAATACATTAACATCCATAGTAAAATTAAGACTCACTTGAACACAAAAGTAAGAAATTGTTCGAAACCTACAAAAAAAAGAACAGCAGCCGAACAACAAATTGTACACAAAAAATAAACACAGGGAAAAATAGGAAAACAAAAAACAAATAGGCACTAGATAGGAAAGCACGGATTCACCTACGACAGAAGTAAGAAGCTACTGGGAAAAATACAAAAAATAGGGAATACGAAGGAAATCCATGTGAAAATTAAGATTCACTTAAGACAAAATTGAGAAATTATTGGAAAAATGTGGGAAATAAGAAATATAGGGTAACTAGGTAACTAAGATTCACGTACGATAAAGGTTTTAAACTTCCACCGAACACCAGCACCAACCACCACCACACCTGCCTAGACGCCTACACCACACCCAAGCTGTTGTTTTTGGGCGCAAAAGAAGTGCCAACAGCAAGGCTTTACATCACAGAGAAACAAGCAATGATTCACATTCCACAACGGCTCTGCCCCTTGTAGCCTCTTCCGAGGCCCGAGCACCCCTTCGGAGTTCTCCGCTCCGGTCGTAGGCTGACCTGTCGGCCTCATCTCGCACGGCCTCAGAAGATCTGCCCGAGCCCCAACGAGCTGGACAGGACTTGCACTTGGCTCCCTGCGGTACCAACAGGCAAAAGGACCTTCAAGAGAAGAGCAGAGCAAACAGCAAACACATCTCAACAGATGCTCTCAAGGAAAAGGGAGCAGGATCAGCTGACCTTCCCCTCAACCAGCAAACTTCCAGGTAGAAGCGTCACCGTCCCCGGTGTTCCAGTGACATCCAGCACCTCAGGTTGGCTATACTGTCAAAGCTCCGACCCTTCTACAAGTAACAACAGGATTCACTCGGCTCACCCACGTCGGTCACAGGAGTGCCGAAATGGCGGGCGAGTACTTCTGGAAGGCCTGAAAGCAACATCTCCCGAGCAAAAAGACTCCGAAAGCGCTTCGAGAGCCAGGCTCACATGAAGGCTGCCCAGCTGAGATTTCAAAAGCTTGGAAAACGCCTCAAGAATTGCAGCTTCAGCCATCCTCGAGAGCTCTTGGGAAATGGATAGGACGATCCTGGGGACTCCACCACGGAAGCAATCCGTGCCTGCACCAAAGATCAAAGAGTTTACGGGCTTCTCATCTCCCAACTAGCTGAGTCACAAAACTCAAAGCAAAAAGCCGGCGCTGGCCGGCATGCAAGATTGTGCTTCCCATGCAACACACTCCAAGATGCAGAGATGTTTCTGCGTTCTGCTTTGATGGGATTTTGTGCTTGCTACCAAGGCGTGCTTCTTGAATGCGTTCGAATTCCTACTGCATTCAGTTATACTTTCAGCTTGTGATATTCTGCTCTTCTAGCCTTCCTAGTTTGACTATATTGACTTTTCTTTTGGCCATTTCCCGTTTGAACAGAGAACACCAAACAAGCCAATATACAGGCTTCCTGTCTGTTCCACGTGATCGGAATCCTCATCGACCGGATGGCATGCATGTCGAAAACCCAAGCCTCCATGTCGACATGCTAGTTTAGAAGTCTACCTTCCTACTACTGACTATCGGCTTAGTGTTCTTGCCACAGTTTTTCTTTCCTCTGTCGTTCTTTACAGCTTGACGTACTTGACACTACTTTATATTATATGTACACATATGTGTATGTACATGTGTATATATTTCTATCTGCTTTCATGTTTCCTATCTCTTAACTACAGAGCAAGAGGAACATCCTGGAGTTTGTGTCTCGTGCGTGTCGACACTCCGATCAATCAAAGCATTACGACCCAGATTCGGAATCTCGAATACCAAGCCCTGCATGTCGATGCCAACAAATTGAAATTCGCATGTCGACCAAAGGTATCCTCTTCAATCAAACTGCACCCTCAACACAGTCCTTGAATTGAGCCGCGCAGACAGCAGGACCACCAGTGGCCTGTCCGGCACAAAGCTGCGACAACTTCGCTCTGCCGGAAGTCCTTTGCCTGGGACTGCAGCAGGCAAGACGCATCGATCGGGTGCAGCTGACAACTGGAATTCCTGACACAATGCTGCTGCTACTACTGCTGCTGCTGCTGCTGCATGCTGCATGCTGCTTCGGGGAACTTGCCATGCACTGCCTCCAGTACGTGAAGTAGCCACAACCCAGGGTCCGAACACATCTCGCCTCTGGGCGAAGCAAACGTCGTGTGCAGGGATTTCTCACCCCCGGATCTTGGGCCCTTTTCGGCCTGGCAAGCTGCCACGCCATCCTTGCTCAGAAGGAAGACTAGCGATGTAGCTAGAGCTCAAAACTCCGAGGAGCATGTCGGCCGCTTGCTCCCGTCCTCTTTGCTTTGAACTTGGCCCGACAGCCCAGGTGTGAAGGCCTGAGGCCAACGATGACCACTTTGGCGTGAAGACTATCGACTTGTTGACTCGGCTCGTCTTGAATTGCTTTCCAAACTGGCCAGAAGGACGACTCCAGGATCCGGACACCTTTGTCTGATCAACATGATAAACCCCGAAAAGATGGACGGCCGTTGCTGAGTGGGCGGCTGGCGGCTGCGGATTGCGGGCTGGTCCTCATCACAACTGGGTAGTTGGAGCAAGCTAGAGAGACTGTTCGCAGTGCTCCTCGCCATGTTGTGCTGGCGGGGTGGTCGTGTGCTTTGCGTTTTCGTCGGGGCCGCCCGGCGCAGCCTTTGCCGCTGCAAAGCATGCAGTTCGAAGCTTCACGACTCATGTTGGCGCCTGCACATGGAGAGACTCCGCAGGTCCCTGGCAATGCGTTTCAATCGTCAGGGAATGCTACGGACAAGTGAGCCCACCAGCCAGAGGAGGGTTTGCCTTGCAACCGGGGATGAGGCTCATGGAGCTTCGAGAGCACAGCTCCTGGTCAGTGGTACAATCTGACGGTCTCTGACGCCATTATTGAAAGGAGGTCAGGAAGGTGCTAGCCTGCGCGGAGATCCCAGCAATGCATGACAAGCACCGTGCTGACCTCCATCCAAGCACGGGCTGGTGAGATCTGCACTTCTCAGAAAGGTATGTACCTGGGTGGCTGACACCTCTGCACAGCAGTGCGGTGGTTCGTGGCTTGTTGATGTCGAAGTGGTGGTGAGGTGCAAGGTGGTGGAAACCTCGATATTGCGACCATCCTGTCTGGTTGTGACGTCGGTCATGAAGCTTGGGCCATGACTGTGGTGAAGGTCCATGGCTGCGACGAGTTGCCTTAATAGACAGGCAGTACGACCTAGAAGGACAAAACCGTGGATGATGGCTCCAGCATTAACACTCTACGGCCAGTCCCTCCCTGAACTCATGGGCAGCGGCTACTGTTTTGTCTAGGCGGTGCCGTGCTGTTACCTGGAACTGTCAAGTCACCAGAATCTCAGACTACACGAGACACACGCACCAATCAGTCACGAGCTCACGGCAGTACTTAAAAACAGACTCGAACTCCCTCCTGGCAGAGGTTTGCCATGACAAAAAGTCGTCGTGTGCCCACGCACAACAAAGAAATTTGCCTCCTTACGGAGAAAAGCATGCCTGCTGAGAATGCCGTTGTCATCCGCATCCAAGAACAGAAAAGACTCATTGGCAGAAGGCTTCCTGGGCCAAGTTTGTGCTGGTCGAAGACGAAGTCTGATGACAAAATACACGAAAGCAGCTCGCAAAGCTGATAAACACTGCTCGACCGAAAGGCGTAAAATTGAAGGACGGCTTGTAGGGGAACCACACAAGTTCCCACCTGCTTGCGCGGGGAACTAGCTGTGCATAGTCCTGTGTGCATGCTAGGTGGCCTGGTCTTGTTCAAATCCCGACCCTGTGCCACGACATCCTCAAGCAGAGATGAGAACTTCCAGTGTCTTTGCGACACGACACAGCACGAGATTCCGGCCCAAGCTTGGCTGCTGTTGGCGAAATGCTTGTGTAACCATCTGGGTGCGCTTACATACACACAGAAACACTCTGGACTCTTAGGCGCAGCAACAACAACAAGCGACAAGCTCGTATCAACAGGCCCCGGCACACAGTACGGAAACATTGCCAATTCCTGGTGTGGATGGGCACACTTCCACTCTACTGCCGAAGCATCACACGAGGTCCAGGCTGTCGCAGCGAATCCAAAAGCAGTGGAGAATTCCGACTTGGAGATCAACTGGTCCTGGTCAAAAGCAAACAACTTGTGCCATACGCGCAAACGTGACAGTGGACGGAACCACTTTTGAAGCTGAGATCCCGCCTGCTTTTCCAGACGATCTATGTATGTGAAAGCATCCTGACACAACAAGAGCATGCCCAGCTCCTGGATTACTCACCTCACTGCTTTAGCACTGTACACCGCAAAGCTTTCCAGCAGCCACCAAGGTTTTGCGGCTCCCTTATGCTAGTTCCGAACATCCTTTTCAAGCGCCTCGCTGGATGACCCAAGCTCTCCATCATCCCACCTCCAGGCCAGAAATCCAAACACAGGCCCGCCCAAGCTGCAGCAGACAAGCCTTGACCAGGCCCGGGTCCAAGGTCGCAAATAAACTCCAACTTCCTGAGTGTTACCGGGAAAACTTGCTGCACGTACAAAAACAGGATGATCAGTTCTGGCATGCTGAGAGATGCACATCCTCGAAAGTCGAGGTTACATTCTCAAAGTTGTCGTGCCAGGCACCTAGACGATTGGCAATATGCAGGTGGTGGTGTACGCGAGAAACCGCCTGTTGGAGTCTTGTACTTTGTCGATATCCATGCACTCCAGTTGAACACCAATTCGCGGGCCAGAAGGGGCTGGTACCTCAAGTCAGGCAACATGTCCGGCACCTTGCACTGCAAGGATTCTGCATACACCAAATGTCGGCACTGCCTCAGCTGCCGCTTGGTGGGTGGGTGGGAAGCAGCAGTCGTGCCCATCCACAACACACCACAAAGCAATGAAGAAACATGAATTTACGCACTGCCTGATGCTAGCTATGGTACTGATCAGGTTTCGAGCTTTATCAAAATCATGGAGTGATGTTGATTGACATGAAGCTTCGACCATGGTTTTTGCATATGTACTTCATGGTAGCGTTGAACCACATAGCACGCGGATCCAGTGTCGCAGGTGAAAGCCAAAACAACCCACATTCCACAAACTTGGCTACAAGCACACACCCACCCACTTTCTGAAACAAAAGAGCTGCTAGTATCGCGTCGCATCGACTCCACACGTATATACTTGTGGTAGGCGCGTGAATTATGAAAAAAATAACATGTTGTTGTGGCCCTGGAATCGAAACATTGCTGTTCTGCGGGAGAACAAAAGAGAAGCGACTTGACCTTCAGCTCCGTTTCCTCGGTGTGAAGGTGGAAGCTCAAAGAGACCATCATCACGAAATTTGTACCCTTTTCCGCGTTGCCTCAACGACTATCAGGTTCCATCAATAATCAATATATGGATTCCGTGCGAAGCACTTTGCAGACAGGCTTTATTGTACAAGGGGGGTTGTGCAAATTCGCGGGTACACTGCGTACTGACAAGCGTGCTGCGATCGATGCACGCAGGTAACCGTTCGGTACATCCAGTCCTTGCCTTCCTCTGCCCCAACCACTGTCACACTGCAGTGAAGTTCAGTGAAGGCCTGCTGGATTGTGTTGAATCCAGCGTGCCTGCGAAGTACGTACAAAACACGCACAAAACCGCCTTGAGCATAAGGTCAGCTTCAGAGGCAGCCACAACGCAACGAACTGTTTGTCTATCAAAAATCGAGATACTGAACAGCAAAACACTCCGGATGCCCGTGCTTTCGCTGATACATGCCACAACCCACAATGAATAGCAAGTCGATTTGCATTCTGGTGCTTCCGACACTGCCAAATTAAATCGAGGTCCAATTCAATCGGAAAAAACGGTTTCCATCGACATGAAGTCGGCCCACAAAAAGTCAGACAATGCACGCACAGACAGAAGAAGAACAAAACCCAAAACGCAGTAATTTTGTGTCGATAAAGACAGAAGCTAGAACACTTTGGAATCAAAGAATGCAAACACACATCTACACGCAATAAAAACTTCTAAATTGAGCTTGAGGGCCTGTGCGTGAAGCCATTTTCTTCGTTTTTTGTAACTCTAGTTTCGAGTTTAAGAACCTGTATCCACACAACATGTGATTCTGGGTCCAAAAAAACCCCGAAGACAAGCTTATGAGTTTTGAGTCTTGCACTTCCCTCTTTCAAATTATAAGGTGGGCATCTTTAGCGTGCTTTACAAGCTACATGCCACGTAATCTTGCTCGTTCAGCTCTTGCAGATTTCGAATTTCCACGCTCAGGCAATCGCCATTTTGGATTCTGCTCTGGACACACGCTTTCGACAAAGAAAAGCAAAGAGAAAAACAGTCACTCTTAAGTGTTTGCAAAGCTCAGTTAGCCGGGCGTGAACCTTGATTTTGAGGGCCTTCTGCAGGCTGCAGCGCCAGCGTCCTAACTCTCTCTTGTATCTGTGTTTCAAAACTGGCCTCTGTTGTGGCGTGGCCTCTGGCTGTTTGGTTGTTGGGGCAAGTCCTTCCTCCCTGATTTGGCGGTATCTCGTTCCAAAACGTGGTCCTAAGGGCTTAGGGCTGGCTTTTAGAAGGGTCAAAAGTGCCCGTAAAATGCGCGTAAAATCTTTTGGGCCATGGTGCGGCCTGGCGGGGTCGGAGTTTGGAGGTTCGACTTCCGCTGATCAGGTCAAGTGCGTCTGAACTACCGCAAACTGCAGGAGAGACTGCGGTAGAGACGGAGTTTCTGCGTCCAGACTCAAACCGAAACCGTAAACTCAGGAGAGACTCCAAAGACACTCCGAAAAAACCGCCAAACTCCGCAGAGACTTTGGTAGAGACTCCGCAAAAACTGCACAAAGACAAAATGACTCCACAAAGACCCGAAAGATTCCAAAAGACTAGCCGAAATTTCACCGATGCTGGCAGACTCAACACACCTATGAGTACTGCATACTCGATTCCGACGAAGAGCGCTGCAGACTCGAGCGAATATTGCAGGATTCCAACACCTTTTACTAGACCGTCGCAGCAAGCTGCACGCAAACCTCTGCACGTCGAGAGCTTGAGAGCTCCAAATAACAAGATCATGACACGCGACTTCAAACCATGACTTGTGCAATTCGAAAGCGCTGGAAAGCAAATCTACCTGCCGTGCAGCAACTGGGCACTTGCACAAACAGCTGGCTGCGCATACCAACTCAAGCGGAGCCTGAGCCACAAAAAGAAAAGGATCCAGCGACGGCTCGTGTCAGGGACCTGTCAAGTGGCATGCGGCATGGAGCTGCGGCCAAGTTTTCGCAAGAGGCTATCTCTCAGCACAGTGTCTGCGAGCGAGCAGCACGAGTCTGCGCGAGCGCTCAGCCCGTTTCAGCGCAAGAAGCGAAGATCACGCGGCTGTATCTGTGCTGGTCGCTTTGACAGTTCTGATAGCCCGCTGTGGCCTAGCTGCACATTTGGAGCAGCACATTGGGCATGTCCTCAACGGTTTTACCTCGCTCGGCCATGCTCAGCCAGGTTTCCAAGGAGGGATGTTTTTCCGGTGCCTCTTGGGCTCCAAAGAACAACGACTCTGGGTTTGTTGAGATCCGCCTCCTGGGTCTGCTTGATCTGGGCCAGAACTTCCTGCACAGTTTCACTCCTCTCCAGGAACCCCTGATCGCCTTGTTGTTGATGCGGGAGTTCAAGACGTGCACATCCCAGTCGGAAATCTCACTACAGGGGAGTCTTTTCACCTGGCGCTGCGTTGCCAATAGAACGCGAGACAGCTCAGGAAAAACATGAAAGAAAGTCCTGGAAGACCGTGAGCTGAGGGCACCAAGAACAACAACAAACTTAGTGTTCACACCCCTCTAACCAGATTTGCGCGAAACTGCTGCTGCCTGTCACTCTGTAAATCACGAGGTGCAACCAGATTTGCGTAAGACCTTTGCCTGAGCCACAAAGGTGCCTTCCGCTCTGAAGCTGCCAAAAGCCCTCTGCTCCGAAAGCCCCTCC